ATACTCTCAGCTCTGTGCAAGAAAAACTGCGGTAGTGATACTGTACGCTCAGAGGTAAACATGTTTCAAACTCTGAAGAGTGCAATGCACCGACTACCTCAACGTATAGGAAATGCAGCTAATCTAATTTTGTCAGTAATCATGACAAAACTATGGGTGCAAGTAGTGCCTCTCCTCAACGTGGAGCCACTAACCTGATGCGCCGAATTTTGTGCGGTCTGTTTAATTCGTTTGCGAAGGCAGCAGTTAATGAAAAAGAACCAACCAGAACACAATCCAAGGCCATTTTCACAAGCATGGAGGGCAGTCACTGGTGACATCCTGACATCAGGACGACTCTGTCAATAAATTCCCAGCCCACAGAATTTCAAACCTGTCCCATATGAAAACTGGACACCGTTTTTCTGCAGTTCCCGTTCACAGATAGGAATAATATATATATATATATATATATATATATATATATATATATATATATATGCTCCTGACAGTCTGGCAGAAGCGTATCAAGGACCTGGTCGGGCTGTAAACTGTTGGCGAAGCACGCTCTCCCTGGAGAGGGGATTTCGCTACTTACTGAGGGTGGGGGGGGAGGGGCGGGGGGGGAGGGGGAGGGGGTATTCGCCTGGTGGGCAGTGGGGGATTTGGCGACGAATGGGGGAGGGGGATATTTAGCTGGCGGTCATTGGCGAGGAGGGAAAGATTTAGCTGGTGGTCATTTGTGGGGATTTCCTCCGCTAGCGTTTTGCAATAAGCCATTCCACATACTTCGGAATATAACCTCACTTTCAGAACGGGGAGGAGGTTCATCCCTAATTCTTTCTCCATCTAGTGGCTAGTCCTAGCAGCGCGCGGTTAATTCATTGCAAAGGCGGACCCAGGATTTCGTCAACGGGGGGAGGGGGAGGGGAGGCACGCCACCTTGTGTTCCTTAAGTTTTCCGGCCCCCTCCAGAAACGACCTTGCAATACGGCCACTAAATTTTAAAATTCTTAGCATGCTGTTATTTATACGGAAACCTATATTTTTTAGGGAGCCCTAGATCAATGTGCAGAGTCCCTGAGCACCGAGTGGCTCGGTGCATTTCCTCATATGGGCCCAGCAGCAACACAAGGCCCTCCAAGCAGGTGGAAGGAATCCGAGACCATTATGAAGGGTCCCTGAGCAACTGAGTGTATCCCAGCACATGAGACCTAGCGTATAGAGCCTTTTGGGCGAATGGAAGGAGTCCGCGGAGTGCCCAGGCATGTCAGCGGATAGTGCCTCAACAAAAGCGTAGAACCCCATTAGAAAATGCAAAGAGATCAGTGCAACGTGGAAGGCTTCTCAGCGATCGGATTGGCCCGGCGAGTGAACATATAGGGCCCCGGCAACAGCGTAACGCCTCTGGACAAGGTGATGAGCCTCAACATCTGTATACCCCGGCATTTATACCCCGGCATCTATATACCCCGGCATTTATACCCCCGGTAACGATCGGGTTGACCCTGCAAGTGGGCATATGGGGCCTCCGGAAACAGCGTGGGGCCTGTGAACAGCGTAATGAGCCCTAAAATCTCTCAATCACCACCCTCTCATTCAGTGAGGAATTAATCTGACCCACTCGCGAGCCCTTCACTTACGCTTGCGACTGTTCTTGGTTTCCTGGAAGCCCAGAGACGTTCAATTTTGTTGCGTTTTGTGCCCAAAAATGTGTCTGTTCGACAGGCTAGGGGCCCCTTCGAAGCCCCCACGAGCCCCTCCGGAGACCAACGGGGGAGGGCATACCCCGCGCCCCCTCCTCCCCCCCCCCCCCCAGTCTCTGAGCACAGCCCTGATTCAGTGCCCCTCTGACGAAGATTAGTATTTTGGACTTGAGACCGACATCTTCCACCCACATTTAACGGCTGGAAAAAGCCACCCACCTCTAGCGCAAGGGCCATGCTTGACCCCCCCCCCCCCCTACTCCGGCCGGCCGGCGTCTCGAGGCGCGGTGGACCCCCCACGTCACGGACCCGCCCAGGGGGTCACAGAGGTCAGGCACACCGCCGTCGCACAGGGGCCACGTCACTCCAACTGACTAATCTGGTGTCAGACGCGCGGGGCCGCTGAATAAAACATGCCCAGGTGTGGGTTACCTCATTTGCAGTCCCATTAGCATGAGGTCAGAGGGCGGAGCCGGGAGGAAGTCGCCGCCCCACGCGTGTCGGGTGCCGGCGTCACGGGCGCGCGCCTCCCGCCGGTGGGGGCGGCGGCCATGGGGAAGCTGCCGCGTCTGCTGGGAACGCCGGCGCCAGACGCAGCAGCGATGCATTGCTGGACGAGGGTGCTGGATGGCTGCGCTCTTGAAGATCTTAATGGATGCCGTGCGGATATACATCTGCGGAACTTTCCATGCTTTGCATACTTTTCAGATTTTCGACCAGCGGGGTGTTCGTGAATCTTAATATGGTGCTGATGGCCATCGATTACATATAATCAACATAAAATCCTTCAGTGCTCCACGCGCACTTAGTTTAAAAGCGTCTCACGTTCGCCGGTGGGTACGAATTCCATTTAAAGAGAATATTCCATACTTGAAGATATTGAAGCAAACATCAGATATGATAAAATAAGGTCGCTAAATTTATCGGCATACTTTTAATTGGAAAAGACTGTGCTAGACAATACGATTTCTGTTTATTAAGTGTGCTCCTCAAGACGTCATGGTTTGATTGCGTTATCGCGCCCTGCACAACACCGACTGAGAATCAACTGACGGCCGCTATATCTGGAAATCGTGCCCACGAACGGCAGGTATGAACGACTCGACATCTACATTTTTCATGGCTTTGGTCGCCGCATGGATAATGGAGCGAGAAAATTTGAAAGACACTGTTATGGCCGTCATGGACGCCTGAGTGACTTTGAAATAGCATCCCCGAAATAGTTTGCACATCTTAGCAGACGTGTGGCTCAGAAACTGGAACAGTTTATGTCTTATGAAGGGTTACACTGTGGACGGCACCAAATGATCTTCAACAACGCTATTTCAGTTGAAATCCAATACAAATGTGGAAATCCTTCTCAATGGTGGTCTAGCAAATAATTATATTTCACCTTAATACGTGCGTGGTTGCACCAGATTCTCTTCAGTCACTTCGTATTTTCCTTTTTAGGGGTGCGGTCTCTACGCTGTAACATTTCTGGAAAGACTGGACTTTTAGGCCCTATGGTCGGCGAGCATGTGGAGTAGTGATAAAGGAAACACTGCAACATTTCCGTCACTTAGTACTTAATGCGTTTACGGAGCTGCCGTTCACAATAGGCTTTTTGCTGGTTCCAGGAAAAATTAAATTGCAAGTTTTACTAACCCTGTCACGACCAGCTGGTCGGGGTCGTCGCGTCTAGGTACAGCAGCTTGTTTTGCGCCCTCCCTGAATCAGCACACTAATTGATCAGAACGCAGCTCATTTTTCAGTTTATTAATACATCGATAACTGAAAACCTTCTGTAACATGACGAGCACAGAAGGCAGCATTAAGAGAGTCAGTTTCGGCACATGAAGACCTCTTAGAGCAGTGTTTTCATCCCCCTGGCATGCTCACGTCTGCACACAACTAGCGGCAAAATCTGTCCCGAACTTGCGGCACGGAAATGAGAAGCGGTACGTTAGCAGCCTACCCATAATAGGCATGCTTAACAATAGGAATGGTAACATTCCACATATTCGCTTCAGTGCACCTACTTCACCTCGATACAATGTACCCAACTGCTTCGTGTGGATAAAGCACGACGTCAAGTTGTCAGTTATATTGAACACGGCTTCAGAGGTAATAGCACACAAGCCAATGACGAGCATGAGCCACACACAAATGACTCTTCGACTAGAACAGCTCCTCCAAAACCCGGCATCGCAGACGCATGCTGAGACCCACATCACCTCAGCCTACAATGCCGATGTCAAAACATTCATGTGAAAAGGTGTCTTTGTTAGCAGGAGCAATAAGAAAAACGTCGCAGATTGGCAGACCGCCGCGGAACAGAGCGAACCAGCACGGGCCATAACACACACCTTCAAACACCATCCTGCCAGTCCCCCCACGGCCCGTCCGGTCCCCACCTTGTTCTGAGCTCATCTCCAAACTCTGGGTGTCAGAGCTTTACGGCACACGAGCCCGCCACCTATCGGACGAACAGCGCGTCGACGTTGCTCGGCCCCCACAGCCATGAGGACAGAGTTGAAGCCCATCACCAACGCGGTGGTGACGTCGGAACCAGCCCAGACACTGGCCGAGCAACACCACACTGACGCCGCGCTGCAGGACCGGACAGCGACCCTCGCGAGCACACACATGCGTCACGGCGGATCAACGCGCAGTTATCACACACAAGCGAAGCGGTTCGAAACGAGCCGTGTTCGGCCAGCAGCTGATGGGACACGGCCGGCCAGCTCCAGGGCTAAACAATCGTTCACAAATCGGATATCGCCACCCCCGCGGAGCAACAACAGCAGCCCTCGGCTTCTGCTAGAGCCCCCGCTGCGTGACAGTCGCCCCCCCCCCCCTACCCAGTGCAGGAATAAGGACACCCGGCCAGCGTCGATGCGTTGAGCGCTGTGCAGCCCGGCGGCTCAGTAGCGCGCCGAGCCGTGCGTCCGCGGCGGGTTTTGCGCCGGGCTGCCCCCGCTGGCGGGCGACGTGCCCGGACCGGCACCACCCCGACATCGGCGACGACGGTCAGCGAACGAGCGGCGGCGGCGGCGGCGCAGGCTGACGCAGGCAGCCTGTGAGCTCCCGCTCTGCCACAGGCGCCGGGACGGCGACCTCGCCACCAGCCGGTCCTCCGGTGGCGAGACGGCGACCTCGCCACCAGCCGGTTCTATGGTGGCGAGACGGCGACCTCGCCACCAGCCGGTCCTATGGTGGCGAGACGGCGACCTCGCCACCAGCCGGTCCTATGGTGGCGAGACGGCGACCTCGCCACCAGCCGGTCCTATGGTGGCGAGACGGCGACCTCGCCACCAGCCGGTCCTATGGTGGCGAGACGGCGACCTCGCCACCAGCCGGTCCTATGGTGGCGAGACGGCGACCACGCCACCGGTCCAGACGACGTGGGTCGCCTCGCGCCACGCCGCGCCACTACCGCTCCCGGCTGAGTTTGAAGCCGGCTATGCCGGGCAGACCAGTACCCACGCGCTGCTGGTAGGCCAGGTAGGCGTGCCCGAAGAAGTTGATGAGGGTGGCCTCCTCGTAATGCACGCGGTCCCGGAAAAACGTCCAGGACGCGGCCGTGTATCCCACCAAACAGACGGGGTTGGTGAGCAGCAGCTGGGTAGTAGAGGGTGAACAGCAGAGCATCAGTGCGACAGCTTAACGACAGGGACAGCACAGCCACAGACCCAGAACCAGCGAGAAATCCTCATGAATGCTGATGCTTAAACAAATACCACCGGAAGCAAACTAATCCATTTCAAACCCATGAGGACAAAAACACAGTGCAATGTTTGCATATAATTAGAATCAAGTGCAATGTCTGTACAATGCATGCTAAGAAAACAACCACATGCCATTGTCCTAGCATACGAAAACACAACTAAGCTGCGAGCACTCTATCGGGATATCTGAAACACTGGTGGCAAATGGACTTATTACAGGTCCTGGTTTCCGCCAATAGATGTCAGCACACCCCGCCTACCTGCGTGCCCACACTCCACCAGAACCAGCCGACGTAGCTCGGGTGACGGAACCAGCTGTACACGCCGTGCGTCACTAGCACGTGGTCAGGACGCCGCTCGTTCTGAAAACGACATCGGAGTTCCGACCACTCGCGCTCCGCGCCACATCTGAGCAACTACGGGCAATTTCACTCGCACTGGCTCCTCAGGCAATGTAGAGATGAACTGTTTTAAGCGAAGCAGGCATGTTACAGTCACAGCTTGACAGCGAGCCGGCGAATCAAGCGGGGAAAGCTCCGCTCCGATGGTAGATCTTCCAAGCGTATGCACTAAGCATTTCACAAAAGGAGGACCGCGGAACATAGAGGCGCAAAGCACGCGATAACTAAACGCGCACGTTCAAACCCCGCCAGAGGCAGCTCACGCAAAAACGTAGGAGCAAAAACAACTGAGCGCAATGCGATGTGTCCCTGCGACCCAACGACCAAAGGCTGCTGCGCTGCCGCAACAGCAACACTGCATCGGCACCAGCGCCCAGCCCTCCGCGCACGACACGGCGCCGTGCCGAGTGTCACCTGCACGATGTGGTTGAAGTTGGTGCGGGCGGTGAACATGGCCAGCTTCCTGATGACCTCGCCCGAGATGCACAGCAGTAGGCCCAGGCCGATGGTGAAGGAGCACTCCTTCATGTCTGCAACGGCGCGACGGGCGTGCTCAGCACGGCGGGCTGGGCGGCTGGTACCCGGGCCCTCCGTCGGCCGGTCGGGTGCGTGTTGGCGATGCGGCGCCGCTGCGGGCGGTCGGGCCGAGCGGGCGCCGGCTCACCCCTCCCAGTCGCCGCAAGGCAAACTGAAGGACGCACTGCACTCACGCCGCCCGCCGTTCCGTATGTCCGCGTCACTCAGTGGTAAAAACATGCCCGGTACCACCGGCGCAGGCTTGGCAGCTGACTTTGGCAGAGGTCGTACGGTTGGACAATACTCGCGCGACCAGGATAGTGACGGCAGTTCCAGACAGTGTCAGCAGATACATGCTAAATGCAAGCAGCGATGGAGCGAAAGCAGCCCGTGCGCAACAGACCGGACAGAGCGGCGTTTGGGCCATTCACGAGCGGATTATCAGCCTCCGGGGCACCGCAAACCCGAGCGCGGACGCCAGCGTCCGACGAACCACTCCGGGAGCAAAACGGATGCCAGTCCCAGGCGACGCGGGCTCAGCACGTGTCGACGAACCACTCCGGGAGCACACCGACAGCCGATCCCAAGCAACGCGGGCTCAGTATGTGTCGACGAACCACTCCGGGAGCACAGCGACTGCCGATCCCAAGCGACGCGGGCTCAGCATGTGTCGACGAACCACTCCGGGAGCACACCGACAGCCGATCCCAAGCGCCGCGGGCCCAGCACGTGTCGACGAACCACTCCGGGAGCACAGCGACTGCCGATCCCAAGCGACGCGGATTCAGCACGTGCCGACGAACCACTCCGGGAGCACAGCGACTGCCGATCCCAAGCGACGCGGGTTCAGCACGTGCCGAACAGGAAAAGGAGAAGTGAACAGGTCACGGCAAGACCTGCCTGCCCTCAGCCTTCATTGGCGCAGGGATCAAAAGCACATACTTCCAGTAAAGAATGACGTGTGCTTGATCAATCTGAACGCCATAGGACATGGGATACTCGAACCGGATGACATGACTCAACGTTGTTCCGATGCCTGCCGAATTCAAGTGAAGCCTCCCTGGTCAGACGCCCGCCGATCTTCGGCCGTCAATCAGGACCAAACACGGAAGAAACCTGCGCTCACTGGGCCTCAGAAACAGCGCCACCGGGCTCGAGAACCAGTCGCAAGCTGATACGACAAGCGCACTAAGGCCAAGACGGTGGCATAGGTGGCAACGTGCAATTACCTAGCATGTGATATACAAGGGATGTAGAGACAGCAATCAAGTAGAACACAATGTCAGCCAGTGCGGCGAACACATATGTGCCAAACAATGATACTTGATGGGGTTGAAATTGATGTCAATGCGCCATCTCGCTGAAATAGTATCAAAGTGGTGCCTAAGGATTTCTTGTTCACTCATATCCCATTGTATCCACTTCTTGGAAAATACACAACAATAGAACAAAGGTGGTGCTGCCAAATATAATTCGCATCGCTTTCAAAGCACCTCATGAAAGAATCAGACCAATTTTCTGGTAATGACGGCTGAATGTTTTAGGGCTTGTGGGAACTTCAACTTAAAGCATCACTTCTGTGCATTTGAACTACCGATCGGCTTCATGTGGTTCCACATCACACAAACTAAGGGCGAAGAGCGCCAAATTAGCATTCTTACAAACAAAAATATGCAACATAGTGTCACAATAGCCTGTCAATGCCACAACCTTAGTTTGTCCACCACACCATACGGCCCCGAAGGCTGGCTGCCAGCTCTGCTCGGCAATGGCATGACCTTGGCCGGCTGACCTGGGAACAGGGCGCGCTCCAGCCAGAACTCGAGCCAGCTGGAGACGGCTGCCGCCGCGTACGCCACGCTGTGGTTCAGCAGGAACGAGTCATCACTGACGGCGCGTGGGTTCGTCAGCGCCGTGCAGAGGTACTCCGAGAAGTGGAACCCGCACAGCACCATCATGTACCTGGGCAAGGGTCACCTGGTCAGTACAGGTCCTGGGAGAACATTACGTAGCAACGCTGCTTAGTGTACAGCCTATAAAAGGACCCGTAATAGAGCCATGGAGCCCAGCCAACACGCACAAATGGAGAGCAACGATATAACGACACGTTCAAATTTACCACGACAAGCTGACAAATAAATGGGTGAACACGTGATAAGCGATAATGACACAGCTATGGATACAACATTTCAAACTGTTAAGCCCAGAACTGCGATGAAACGCAGTTCATGTGAACATTAAACACAGTGCAAGTACAGCAGAGAACTCCGTGCTAAAACTGCCGTGCCGCTGCTCGCGAGCCTGGGTATGTTACGACCGGATTTACGCAGGCTACACCCGGCATGGAGCCACAAAAGTAAAGCCCTTATCACACCGCGGCAAATGACGTGGACAAAACGGCCGAATGCACCTGTTGAGGACCAACCGAACTGATTCGCTCCCAAGCGGGTGCCGCCTCACACCGACGCAGGTCACACGGACAACAGGCGGACATCGGACATCGGACATCGGACATCGGACATCAGACACGGCCGGCGGGTCTGGACACGCCCCGGCACTGACCATCCGAACGGCTGCCAGGAGGTGGGTGCCGAGGTAGCCAGGATGACGCCCATGGCGAACCCGTCGCCGAGCAGCGCGGCACGGATGGCCGTCTGCGGGGAGAGGAGCCGTCACCCAGGCAACGGCCACCTGCCGTTGATATGGTGGGCCAGCAGTGAGGGGGGACGACTCACATTACTGGGGATGATTTGTCACCACTGTCAAATGAGTCACCACACCAGAGGCAAGCCATCAGAACAGTGTAGGGGAACCTGTCACAAAAGTTACGTGAAAATGACAGGGTTTACGTCACACAGGGTGGAACTGTCACTGCAGTACGGAGGGATAGGCTTGGGGGGGGGGGGAGGTGGTCTGCCAGTCACATCAAACAAGGCGGGGCTGTCACTGTAGCAAGGAAGGAGAGGCTTGGGGGTGGGGGGGGGGGGGTGGTCTGCCAGTCACTCACGTCAGACAGGGTGGGGCTGTCACTGCAGCAAGGAGGGATAGGCTTGGGGGGGGGGGTAGTCTGCCAGTCACGTCAAACAGGGTGGGGCTGTCACTGCAGCAAGGAGGGACAGGCTTGGGGGAGGGGTAGTCTGCCAGTCACATGACAATTGCCTGCCTCATCAGAGCACACGAGAAGACAGCCTGCCACAGCACATCGCAAATATGAAGGCACCTGATCAACGATAGCACAGAACAAGCAGCAAGGTTAACCCAGCCACCTGAGGAGCGTGCAGACAGCCGCAGCTGTGCGGGCATCTCACCTGTATCTTCCTGCCCTGGTACGAGCTGTGCATGACGGCCACGGCCGCGCCGCAAAACACCACGGCCACGAACAACGCGTGGCCCATGAACACTTCGTCGAAGAACATCTGCTGCAGCGCCGCCACTGTGGCGGGCACAGCCAGCCCGATGAGGAAGCCGCGGGTACTGACGCTGCTGTTGGACTCGGAGCGGCCCGAGCGGCCGTCACCGCTCGTCGGCCCGCCCATCGTCTAGGCGGAGGCAGGTGCTGTGTGTAGTGATCTCAGCCTGCTGGACAAACGTGGGCGGGTGAAGACAGGCTGGCTGCGGGGGTAGACAGGGAAAAACGTCAAAGGGAGGGAAAGCGTATTGCATGGATGGTCAAAGACCAACATCGAGCTTTCATAAATCGCTAGGGCTCCACATAATTTTTGGTTGAGTGCTTTACACATCAACCATTAACTTCATGCCTCAGTATGGAAACAGCGGGTGGGAAGGGGAGGGGGCAGACACATGCACTCACAATTACACAGAGAGTCCCACCTTGGGTAAAGACAACAGCGAAACAATAGCGAAGGGAAATCAAGGTGCATAGTGATTAAGGGAGAGACAAAATGAGAAAAAAGCTGGATATCATGACAAGGCATTGGTTCTTTCAAGTGTGTACTGTTAAAACACTATCCTTCCAATAGACTGTAGAGCAGCATGCTTTCTGATAATTACCCGCTTACCCCTCCTAAACTGAATTTTGCTGATTCAGCTACATTACTTAACATAAAACCAGAAACAAACTGTGAAGCAATAACTATGTACACTTGAATTAATTTGTTTTTATGTTCAGACTGATTCATTCAAAGGTCCTCGATTTTTTGCATATTTTCTCGCCCATGAACTTTGATGTTCCAAAAGTAAAAAAGTGTCTTTTGTTTTGGCTCAAGTTTGAAAGTTTCAGATGTGAGTTGATCAACTTAATACTGAAGTTCTTTCCATTTTTAAATCCTAGGATTATTCTGGTGAATTCTTTTTCATTGCATTTACTTTTCAAACATATGGAGAGATTACCCTCACAAAAACGGACCCTTGGCTAAAATGGGGTGAGGGGCCCCGCAAGTGCCCCAGGTCACCCCTGGCCGACTTGAGACTCCTCCCATCACAGGACCCCTGTTGGACACTGGTGGCCTGACCGTCAAAAGACCACTCATTGTTGTAGGGACTCCGACCAACTGCAGTAGAGAAATTTGCTATGCCTTGTATGGAGCATCTTGCATAGGTTCTGCACTTCAGAACTGGTATGGTTACACTACACAGCATTTAGGTAAATCTATCATGATGGCAAAAATGATTGCAAAACCTGACCCCTCCCTACATGGGAGCATTCAATTATGTGTGATACCCCAGCTTGTGCTTCCAATTTGGTATTCATAAAAATCCAGCCCTCAATAACAGGACTTCATCATATCCATTGGGAAGCATGACAAAATGAAAATACCAGGAGCTTAATGGCCAGTCATGTATCATTTTATGTGTTGGTGGGGGCAATTCAACTTACTGGTGCTGTGTGCATATGTTAAACCATCATGAAGTTCATTGTATGCTCGTTTTTGCCTGACAATACAGGTGTTGTTAGGGTTGGGGTTGCACTAGAGTTGTGGGTCAATTTGACCCCTGAAAGGTTTTATCAGAACGATTTACAAACAGCGCAGTGTGGCCATGCCAAACTTTGCCTTGCTGTAGGCAATGGAAGAGTGGATCTTTTGGCATACACAGATGTATGTTGTGAGATCACTGATCTATGGCAGGTCAAATTCAGACCATGGCTATCAGAGGAAGTCATTTCCAGGGAATTGTTCAATCTGATACATAAATAGAGGGTAAGACAAAGCAATACATCTCTGAAATGCTTTCTTGGGCAATACAACAATAACCCTCATAATTAAAACAAATTACACTGACCTAAAGACCAGGTATACAGGCTTGACTGATGTCAACACTGACCTGCTTTTATATTTGAGCCTGTTTAACAAATATAGCTTTTGGTGCTCCTTTCTAATTTACTAATGACAGGATCTGCAACAGACATGTTCCAAGAGCCTCTTCAAGGTCAGAGCACATCACTGACCTAAAATAACTCTAATCAATATTCTGTTTTTGGGATTATACTGCCTTCTATAAATCATGAAGCTCTTTGAAATGATTAAATATAAGTAAACTCATAGCTTTTTCCACAATGTCCTTCTCAGCATAAAAAGGTCACTGCAATGAAAACCAGTGGCCTTTTCTTTAAAACAAGTACCTTAGTTCAAGCTGGTTGCATGAGGTATGCAAGCACTTTGGAAACCAAGTTTTTGAGATCTCAGGGGGGTCAAAATGGCCCCTACTCAAGCAAAGGGTATTCAATCAGCTACCCATGCACATGGTAATATGGGAGGTATATGTGCATCAGAATGTTCTTGTATTAGCCATAACTTAGCAGGTAAATTAACATCATGGTACCCTGTTCCAGACCAGGAAGCCTCTTGTATGCATACAAAGACTCCTGTTCCAGATAATGATGCCCTGTTTGGGGATAGTGAGGCATTTTGGTTACTTCAAAAGTGCACTTTGTAAATTGGAAGGACCATGTCCTGAATTACGAGCTTCCTCTGCCATACTACAAACCATGGGAGGTTTGAATAAGATCTCATTAGCATATACTGGATGGCTCACTCCAGCTAAGGCATGCACTGTGCTATTCCCAGGCACATGCTCAGCAGTTCTCCCATGCACCAATATGCCTGGCTGTGCATTATCTATAACAGTGTAAAAAATTGGTGCAGACAGGGAGTCTGATGTAACAAACAACAAAGCACTAAACAAATGGAAGCTGCAAGGAAAACTCACATATGTCTGAATTTTCACATTCAAAGGCTTGAGCAGATGGATTTTTAGAACAGTGACACTCTAGTCTGCAAAATACAGCAGATTTGTGAATGCCATCCTTTATCTTTATCCCATATTATATCTTGCCACTATCTTTACTGCTGTCATATCATCCTGTCTGCTTGACTACTAGTGCAACATTTTTGAAACCAGATATCTTCAAATTAAATTGAAAAACAGCAAAATATTGTACAAGCCCGAAGGATTTTGTACCCACTAGCCACTGATGCTTGTGTTGAACAGATAAGCCAGCCACAAAAACCAGCATAACTATTATGCCTGTGTGTGCAAGAGAGCTCTTAACTGAGCATTTTCTTTTGTTCACAATGCTGAATGCAGAATGATTAATTAGTTATTATGCCTGTGTCCACAATAGAGCTCCAAAACTGAGCATTTATTGTTCACAATGCAGAGTGATTAATTAGTTTTTGAATGCTGCTGATTTGGTAGCCTAATGATGTAATACAACATGTTGGATGGTAAATTCAGTGCAATTGCGATCTACCTTGGGTAGAGCAGTGGGGTAGTCATTGGGTGCAAGCAGATGGTGAGGGAAAATATTGAAACAAATCCTAGTCATCAAATAACCAGCCCCTGCCTCAACCACAGAAGTGGCCTGCCTCATTTGAGGTCGGATCAGACCTGCCCCATCTATATCACTGGTCAGTCAGATTCTGAGAGTTAGGCACATACCACTCACTTATAAATCAGCGAATCGACAGGGCGGCGATAAAAGTCAGGACAGTCCGTCAATTGGCTACCAGTGAAAGTAAATACAAGACTTGGAGAAACGAACAATTATTCGCACCACTATCAAAACCCACCCGAATACCTACCCAACCACCCGGCAAACTACAACAGCAATACCAAGTCAGTGGCTGCTATCTAATGACGCAGATGCGTTGTATATGTCTCGTAGTGAATGATGGACGGGTATGAACTAAACGACTGACTAAGCTTCTTGAGGACACTATGCTCCAAGCCTATTGAACAGATCTCCATGAACATTCACCATTCGGTGCCAATTAAGCAAAGCTTTGCTCAATGTAATCTAATGACCTTAGGGTATGGTAACACGCGCTCGGGTGGCCAGTTGAATACCCTTCGCTCGGGTGGGGTGGGGGTCAATTTAGGCTGCGCGTGTACACCCTCCAAAAACGGAGGGCGGTTACGCACCGGGCCTATACACCCTCCAAAACAGAGGATGGTTACGCACCGGGCTTACACACCCTCCAAAATGGAGGGTGGCTACGCATCGGGCTTATACACCCTCCAAAAATCTTTCAGATGGTTGTGCGTGTCAAGCATACGCGGATTACCAGCCTTATAGTGAAGCAAGTGCAAGTATGCAGAATACTGTGGGAAAAGTTGGCCCTATGCGTGATAGGCATCACACGATCACGAAATCCATCAACTCACTCTGAGCCAGTCCTATTCTGATCCGAAATTTTCGGCCGCTGGGCCCACATCTCCAGCGAATGGATGGCCAGCATGCTAGTGTTGCACGCGATAAGCCCGGGTTCGAATCTCAACCACCGCCGCTGTTAAGTGGGTGTCTTCATGGTCTATCGGTGTGGCGTGATTATGCCAACTCGCTTCACTTCTAAGCGGAATGAATTCTAATTTGGGCTTTTCATACCGGACAGCAGCGTAGTTTCCAATGCCAGAGGGGGGACTAAGGATAAAGAGGACGCCGTCCCTCCAGGGGAGGGAGTTCACACCCTACAGAGATATTGAGGATCCCGTGAAGGTTGACCGTGAATCTAAGTGAGGCCAGCGACTTGTGTTAACATTGATTGAAAATGTGTAACTGAAAATGCAATGTGTAAAATGTGCAAACATTAGTGAAAAGTTAGGCGCACACCACCCTTCCGGGCAACTGCCTCAAGATCATTCCTCCCCAGCCCGGGGTGTCCACCAGCTGCCATTCTGGCGACATGGAGCCGGATTCGCCTGATGGGTTCGTCCGGAGGCCCTCACAGATGTGCGTCCCACGCTGGTGCCCTCCCTGGCGCGGAAGGCCCTTTGGCGGCTTCTGGCCGGGGCATTTGACTCGGAATAGGCGCAAGAGCCCTCATTGGGGCAACAAGATCTCTGATCACCGCAGGTGATCCAATAACTGGCACAGAGACCCATTTTTGGCCAACGGACCCTTGGCTAAAACGCGGTGAAGGGCCCCGCAAGTGCCCCGGGTCACCTCTGGCCGACTCGGGACACCTTCCGTCACAGGACCGCCTGTTGGACACTGGTGGCCTGACCGTCAAAAGACCACTCATTGTTGTAGGGACTCCGACCAATGCAAATCGCGGGCCCCGGTCTTGTTCCTGCTAGAGAAATGGGGCCCCAGGGCTCAGAATAACACACAGTCCATTATTCGGTGTAGTGGTGTCCGGCCGAAATAGGTGCCCGCACTGTCCCAGGGGTCCACAATCGGCGAAAGAGGCGTATTGGCTGACATTTGGGATCACAGCCATGCGGGCCAGGATGACCTGCAGCCTTTCGACCCTTTCCTTTCAGCCTTCCCATCGGACCGTTGATCGCCAGTCTTGAAGGGCACATCGGTTCCTCTTCGGGCAGCCTCGCACACTCCGTGACCAACTCGGGGGCCCTTTTCAACACCGGACCTCCGGTTAGGCGCTGTGTATCCCTGGCCGACACAGGGGCTCCCCATTGGCTCGAGGAGCACTGATCAATGTAAACTGCGGGTCCTGACCTTGTCCCTGCTTAGGAAATGGGCTCCCAGGCCCAGGCCGGGGCCCAATCAGTGCAGGGAGCCCTCTGACTGGTGTTTGAAGGTCCGACCCGCGCCCCTCAATGACCTTTAGCCAGCTCTTCGGGTCCCATATCGGATTTACGATGCTCCCATTTGATATTTCGTCGTGGTGACCTGAATGACACTTCAGGCTTAGGATCAATCACTTTCTCCCCGCAACAGCCCGTCATCAAGGGCAAACTGAGTTCGGGGGAGTGGCAGACAAGTGAAAAATAACAAAATTTCCCCCCCCCCAAAACGTATGGCAACAAGCAGGGGCGGATCTAGAGAGGGGGCCACGGGGCATGCCCCTCCCCCTTGGGCCCCGAAGGGGCCGATTGGCTCCGGGGGGCCCACAGCCGACTGAACAGGTGCAGTTTTTTTAACATAAAACGCAACAAAAGTGGGTATCTCTGGACTTTCAGGCCACCAAGAACAGTTGTAAGCAAAAGTGAAGGGCTTATGAGAAGTCCCAAAAATTACCCAATGATTGGAAAAGTTGTGAACTGGAAATTTTAAGTCCCATTACACCATCTAGGGCCCCATGCTGTTTCTAGGGGACATATATGCCCCTTGCAAGCTCATTTCAGTCGTTTAGAAGCATTCCACGCTGCCCTTCATTCCTTTGCATTTGCTCAGAGGGCCCTGCGCTGCTGTTGGGGCCCTTCCTGTTAGCGTACCGGGGAACTCTTTTCAATTACAGGACCTTCCACGGATTATTTCCATTCGCCAGAAAGGGTCTGTGAGCGGTAGCCAGAGTCCCATACCTTAACCTGCCGGGGTATTCTCGGTTGCTCAGAGGCCCTTTACCTGGGTATCGGTTAGCCTACCGACACACTTGTGATATGCCCATGGGTCCTCTGCATTGGTCTACGGCATTTCCAATTCTCTGTCACTGGCCTACGGCCTTACCCCTTTGGTCTCATTTGCGGCTGACTTTTCACTCCTACCGAGACTCGTGTTGTCAACCTGTCCGTGCACTCTTGATTGCACAGGGGTATTAATTTATAGTCTTGAATGATTCCCCTTTGCTCGCATGGTCCTGTGCTATGACCGGGGCTCCATAGTCCAGCCTGTCGAGACACTACCAATCGTTTAGGGGCCCACCACGTTGGTCTTGAGTTCTATTTGCTTGCTCTGAGTACCCCATACTTGTTGACGGGAGCCACTTTGTTGGTCTCCTGCGGCACCCATGACCACTCAGGTTTTGTCCCTATTGGCCTTAGTGCCTTCGCCTTTGAGCTGCAGTCGAATACGCGCCAATGAATTTATTACGTGCAATTGCTGAACATAATTATGTATGCCTTCGCCGTCGTATGAGTCATTTCCACTGGCTATTCAGCGTGTCACACTCATTTATATTTACGGTCAACCTTCACGGGATCCTCAATATCTCTGTAGGGTGTGGACTCCCTCCTAGCATTAGCGACTACGGTGCTGTTCAATATGAAAGCACTATTTAAAATTCCTTCCGCTTAGAAGTGAAACGAGTTGGCATCATCACGCCGCGCCGATAGACCATGAAACCACCTACTTAACAGCGACCGTCGTCGAGATTCGAACCCTGGTTTACCGCGTGCGAGACCAGCTGTCCACTCACTAGAGCTGCGGGCCCGGCGGCCGAAAATGCGTAACGATTAGAAATGGTTCGGGGTTGATGAATTTCGTGATCGTTTGATCCCTATTACGCATAGAACCGACTTTTCACACGGGATTCTGCATTTTTGCACTTTCTTTCCTCCAAAGCTGCCAATCCGCGTATGCTTGACACGTGCAACCATCTGAAATATTTTTGGAGGGTGTATAAGTCCAGTGCGTAACCGCCTTCTGTTTTGGAGGGTGTATAAGCCCGGTGCGTAACCGCCATCCGTTTTTGAGGGCGTGTACGCACTGCCCTCTTAGAAACTGTTCTTTACATTTGGTGTAATCTTAAGCTATCATTGTTGATATTCTGCTTGCTCTTAGGCCCCAGAAGGTAAGGAGACCAAACTCACTGTTGGGATGCAAAATTGAACATTGCAGAGGCTAGTGGCTCACCCCCCCCCCCCCCCCAAACAAACCAAATCGACACTCGTGATGACCATGACAAACCATGACCGAGGAACTCGAGAACTCCTCCTGTCTGAGAATAGGGGGAAGGTCTCCCTCGCCCCTTTGGGAAACTTATGCATCTCAAACAAAACGATTGTGTGATGAAGATTTTGTGGTGATCTGTCTCATACGCGCGGAGCATGGGGGCTGGCTGGCTCTGCAAACTAATTTCGGCGGTTCCTTGCACTTTGAGTGATCTTAAACACGCGCTCGGGTGGGGTCGAACTGTCTCTTCGAAGATTTTTCCAGAATGGTTTCCGAACGGCGCGGCGCAGCCGCGCCACATTTTGCATGTCTGTAGCCAATCGAATAGCAGATCGTTTGGTGTCAAATAGATGTACCTTGTAAGGTCACTGCTTAACGGCAGGTCAGTCAGGTCATGGATTCCGCGAAGTCAAATGCTAAGGAATCGTCCAATCTGGTACAACAACGGAGTGTTAGACGAGATCATACATCCCTGAGATACTTTCTTAGGCAGCGCCACAATTGAAGGAACAAATTCCATGGACCTAAGGTCAGCTTTGAAGGTCATGCCAAGGGCAAAGCCAATCTGTTTTATTACTCCAGGGCTTGCCGTATGGAATAGTTTCTGGTGCTCATTTCGAATTTATTCGTAACAGGAACCACATTATACATGTTCCACGCACTCCTTAGAGGTCATAATAAGTCACTGATCTAAAATGACCCGGGTCAACATTTTTTTTTTTAGGAACATACTACCTAGCGCAATCTTGTCACTTATTCAAATACAAAACTCGAAGCAGTCTTGTATGATTTTGGTCACCGCGACCTTCGAATGGTCAAACATGGCCACTAACCTTAAACGATCATGTGACCTTTTGCTTAGAACAGTTATCTAGGTTTCGGGGGCCGGAGACCAGCCTGGAGATTGACCTTGTTTGACCTTATTCGACTCAAAGGTCATGGCCTAGGAACCCTGAGTTCAGGTTAAAGTTTGGATCTGAGAAAAC